CGCCCGGCTCGGCCCCGCCCACCCTGCCCGGTTTCGGCCGCCAGCCGCGCGGAGACGCGCACGCAGGACCTGGCGGGGGCGCGCACGCCGCCCTCTGAACCCTCCGCGACGTGGCGGAGAGAAGGGTTACCGGGACCCTGCGGTTGTCGGTTCCTGGCCAGAGGCTTCCACCGAGCGGCTTGGGGCGCCGCCTGGGCAGCGCTAACAAAGCCTGTCGATCTTACTGTCGATTCTCGCCTTCCTGGAAGCAACCCTGGCTCCCTAATATTACAGTGGAGGAGGAGGCGCTGCCCACACTCCTGGACTCACGGGCCGCGCTCTTCGTAGTAGCTCGTATTTGGACGTAGAGGGTCAGTTCTCGCTGAGTCTTTGACGATTGCCGCCACAGGCTTTCCCGCCTAATACCTATGCGCTCACGCCTGGTGACTTGACTCTAGGACCGTGCCGTGCCCGGTTATCCCTTGTCGGGTTCTGGCGGCCCCACCTCCCCACTCTACCACCCCCGGGGGTGGGGCGGGGAGTACAACCCAGGATTCCAGCGCTGAGCTGTTTTGGAGTCGCAACACGGCAGCCCACCAAGGTCTGCTTCTGTGAGGGACTGTGGCATCATCCCACGAAAATCATCTATCTGAAATGGGGGCATGGGACCGCCCTTGCAGAATATCTTACATATGAAGACATGTCTCATGGCCCTACCAAAGATGGGACAGCGATTCACAGTGCTGAGTGGTGGACATCCCTCAACTCGCCCCACCCCAGTGTCCTTCCCGTGGACTCCCACCCACTCTTAACTGCAAGAAAACTATAATAAAGAGAAGGTGGCTGTAATACTGGCAGTGTGGGCCTGAGCAGAGTAGGAAAACACTGCTTTGTCATCCTCTTTGTGGCTACATTTTTTACCCCCAGCTGTTCTGCTTTGGAAAAGAGAGCTCATACATAATTTGCCCTCCTCAACACTTGGATTTTTATAAACCAAGTAAGTTAATAAGAAAAGAAAGGAAGAAAGGAAAGAAAGTTGAGAACTTATATTTCAATCACAATAAAGTTTTTTTTAATGAATAAATTTACCTTTTTAAAAAATGTACTCTGGTTTTCTTATTTTGTCTAACTTGGCTGCAAACTGTTCCTGGTCTTCAGTGCGTAGTTGAAGAGCCACGGTTTAGAGAGCTAGAGGTAAGGGTGGTGAAGCAAGCAGGTGACATGATAGAAGTGTGTTCTGCTACAATATTGCCCAACTCTGCTCACTGTCCTGAATTGAGTCACACTCTCTTCCTTAGTTTAAGTCCCCCCCTCAAAAAAAAAAAATAGTGACTAGAATAGATGATTTGTATAGCGCTTTCCAGCTTTAAAAATCTCATGATTCTTGAATGTACCTATTGAAACCTGGGACTTTCCTCCCTTACTTAGTCACCTAACTAGTACTAGGTGACAGACTCCCAAATGATGCTGAGTCATTCAAGCTAGAAACCTCATAGGGTCTTCTTTGGCCCTTTACCAAATAATATTCTGCATCTGGACAATCAAACAAACTAGTCTTTTGCATAGATTTACCATCCTAAGCAAGTCTGGATTTCTGCTCCTGTCTAACCAGTCTCATTTCCTCCAAGTGTTTCTACCTCAAACTCACTATGAACACAATTCTTCCTAAAACACCCACTTTATCTTATTTCTCTATTTAGATATCCACAATGGCTGCCTGGCGCCCATGACATAAAGTCTCAACTTCTGTGCTCAGCTGCTCAAAGTAAGTCATTCTAACCTGCTTCATTTCCTTCTCTGCTTCATTTCCTTCTCGTTCTCTATTAAACAGGATGTACTGTCTAATGGGAAGCTGCTTGTACTCATATAATGATGCATCTGAAGTGCCTCCCTGTTAACGGTACAGCTGTAATCCCATGTTCACCAAGGCATATACTGTTCTCAGCACTTCCACATGCTGTAACTGACACTTTTACCTGTTTCATAAATCTGCCAGCTCACAGATGGTCTCCCAAACCCATGGAAGCAGGTTTTGCTCTGCTTTTATATCTCCCCAGTGTATCTAGCGTACTGCCTTCTCTATTATTTCAGTAGATGCTACATGAATATTTGCCACTTGAAAAACAAAATAGTTACTTTCCCTCTCATTTCATCCTATCCCCATTTTTATTTTCTGTTCTATATTCTGACTTCTCAGAGAATCTTCCAGTGGTATCTTTTCAAAGGCTTTGTTTGAAATTGAAGAGGTGAGTAGAGAGAATTCTAGGAATCACAAATTTCATCAAATATCCCCTTCCTCGTAATATACGATACATGTATTTTGACATAGACTTCTAGAACAAAGCTATCATCTGTGTGGTTTACTCACCGAGAAATGAGACAGGGCACCTGGTAATCTTAAGACAAAAAAAAAAAAAAGAAAAGGGTAGTACTAGGTTTGACCTACCTATTGCCTTAAATAGAGGGCCTTTTTATTCCTCAAATCACACCCTGCAAACTATCTCATACAAGCTTGGACAAAATGTTGAGCTCAATGGTTTGTTGTTGTTGTTTTTTTTTTGTTTTTTTTTTTCTAGTGGCTATTCTTACTCTGAGGAAGGTAAAAAGAACAATAAAAATAAAGTAACATTACAAGTAAAAAGCCTAGACTGAAGGCTAGCTTGTAAGAGAAAGACGTTGTCAGAAAAAACAATTTCAGTAACCACCGGACAAACTGTACTTCCCTTTATTCAATGTTAAGTCAAATGTCTCTGTTCAAGTAGGTTTTCTTTCCTTTTAGACTAGCCAGCTCTTAGATAGCACAAGAGCCTAGGCAACAGATAAAAGTCAGCTCTAAAGTTTTAAGTCATGTGCTAATTAAGGAAAGCATCATTGGCCAGAGACAAGTGTGAGTGGGCTGGTTTGCAGCTGTGAAATCATGGGACAGTTGGAATTACCAGTTGGGACTGTGGTGGGAAATACCATTCCTATTTATGATATGTACCTAAGGATTATAAGAAAGAAAAGGCCGGTTTGAATCACCTAATTGCCAGAGTCTAGAATCTAATAGCTATAATTCTATTTCCTATATAAGATCATTTGCAGTATGAAGAATATGACAATTAGCATGTAATTGTATGATCACTTAGAATCAGCCTACCAAAGATGATGTTCATAACATCGAACCAAGTTTGCAGATTTTTATAAACAGCCAAGGGCATTGGAAACTTTTCTAGGTTTAGAAAAGTAGAAGGCTCAGGCTTTGATTTTGTGCATCACAATCCTGATATAGGACATCATTGAAATGACCTATCATGTGCATTTCGGTGCTTCACGATTTGAGTTACTACCACTAGATTTATTAATACCTAGTATACAGAATATATGTTCATTAAACAAATAAAGGGACAAATGAATAAGCTTGAAAGGCTGTGCCTCCACAGTGTTACATTTGCATTTCAGGTAGGTAGCACTAGGTGGTACAAGTTTGTGTGTGAACAGGTGAATAAGGGAGTCTTCTCTCAAGTGAGTGTAATAAAGATGTCCCCTGAATCAGTTGCCTACAAATATATGAGGGGACCTTGGAAAGCTCGTAGGAGAATGGAATTAAAGTACAAGTTTATTTGGGGCAAAAAAATTTGATATCTAAAAAAAAAGAAAAAGAAAATAGAACTAAAGAATGATATAGGAAATTAGTTACTAAAATAATAAAGCTTTCTTTTATCTTACAAAAAAAATTGAAACCTATGCAGAATTTCTTCAAAATATTTATTTTCCATAAACTTTTTGAAGATCCTTTTGTATTTAACTGTTTCAGCTAGCCATGATTTTTGGGGATGGACTGGTAATGTTTAAATTTTATGTATAAGTCTCTCATCTTTTTTAAAAAGGATATAAATTAGATACCTGGGAGAAACTGGCTCCCTCTTCAATCTGCAGGCCTACCTTATCCTCTTTTGAACTGCAGTGGTAACCAAGAGACTTTGATGCCTCTAGCTAAGTGCCATGCTAGTAAGGAGAAGTGGGTTCAGAGGGAGCTGCTGGCTGAGATAAGCACATGGTACTACATCGTTACTAAGCTCTAATCAACAGTTGTTGCCACATAAGAATGGATGAAACAGTGACACTATGTCTTCTGATTATTTTTTTAAAGCTCTAGGAGATCAGATAAAAAGGTTGGAAAATCTTAGGTATACTTGGTGGTGTGAAAAGTAAATCCTTCGAGCCTGAAATTATCCATTTGTTCTTTTGGTAGTTAAGAGGTCTTATTAAGGGGCCAGCAGATGGTGTAGTGGTTACATCACTGGACTCCCATATGGCTGATGACAGTTCGAGTCCTAGACCTGGTGGTTTGAAAATCCTCTGGCTACATGTGTATGCACTCCCAAGATACCAGAAGGAGAATGGAGGGAAAGGGACTGCGGCGTGGCCATCCCTCCTAGGAGATGATTTCTCTCTCACTGTCTTTGTCTCTCCAGCAAGTGTATGCACCCTAAGACAAAAAAAAAAATTAAAATTAAAAAAATCTTATTAAAAGACAGATAACTCTAAAATGACAATATGTTATTTCGAAGGGCTATGGACAGTTGGTAGCAGAAGCATTTCAGAGGCATAGTAATGGGAGATTCCAAGGGCCTCAGGACAGTGAAAGGACTGAAAAGGACAGTGATGCCTCCAAAGTTCGTCTCTGAATGTTTACCTCCTGTTTATTGCAAGTATAG